CTCTCTCTCTCTCTCTCTCTCTCTCTCTCTCTCTCTCTCTCAAATAAATAAAAAAAAAATATTCTTATGCTGTGTGCTGCGGTGCACACCTGTGACCCCAGCACTCTGGAAACTGAGGCAGGAGGATCGCTGTGAATTCAAGGCCAGCCTGAACTGTACTTTCTCTTTTAGGGGTATTTTTCAATAGCTATATCTTTTCTCTCAATTTCCTGTCACGATTCCTCTTGTTAGGAGCAATTCTCATGTATGTGGAAAATATTTATTAAACATCTACTTTTGCATATTCCTCTGCCAAGTGTTAGAGATACAGAAAGGAGCCTAAAATGAAGTTGAAAACCAAGAGCAAGAGCAATAAGCACAAAAAAAAATAAGCAAACAGCAGTGCATGCTTGAAGCCAGAGTTCAAGCACCTCCTCCAGCTCTCTGTGGTGCGTGGAACTAAGTGTCCATGAGGAATGTTCTGGAATCAGAGGCTGGAGCCCTGGAAGGCTTTCAGGAGGGCAATGGGCCTTGAAGTGAGACTTGAATACACAGCCAGAGAGGAAGGCAGAATGCCCAAGCAGGGAATTAAGTGAAGGAAGATGTATACATGTAAAAGTCTCCTTAATGGGCTTATGGGCACAATTTCCTCATGATTAAAAAGGAAAGAGGTTTAAAACTGGTATTGTGCTTATGGAAGAGGAAAGCTCAGGTGCTTAGGAAATACATGTTTTAGATGTAGAGAGAAAGGGCCAAAACATAGCTACCCTCCAAGTGTTCAGAGCAAAAATGAGGCCAGGTTATGAACAGGTATTCTTTGTATGATTTTCATTTCTGGAATTTTTTTTTAAACTTTAAAATTTCCTTGGAAAGGGCCAGTCAAATAGCTCAGTGGATTAAAGCACCTGCAAGCAGGTGCAGGGGCTGGGGGTTAGATCCCTAGCCGCCAGGGCGCACTGAGACAGCAATTGAGACTGGGAGTGGTGTTGCGTGCCTGTAATCCCAGAACTTGGGAGGCTGTAAACAGGCAGATCACTCTGAGTCTGATCTAGTAGTGAGACCCTGAACACCCTGTAGACCCTTCCCTAAAATACAACAACAAAAAACTCCTTGGAATTTTCTTTAAAGGTTTTTAAATACTTCTGAGGATTTAAGATGTTCACTTCATTCCCCTTTTCTTGCCCCTCTCTGAACACAACAATGTTCTTCCTGTTCCTAGAACAGGTTCCAGGGCTCTTAAATAGATTGCTTCTCTCTTAGCCCATAATGAATGCTGTTCCACTTTCAGGGCTCAACAAAAAAGCCAGACCTCAGAGTACGCACCTAGCACTCCCTGTCCAGAACAGACTTCCACCAACTATGTGTGATCAGCTTGTTCTTTCATTCCCTTAATGTCACCTTTCAACATACAGTAAATCTTGGTTTGAGAGCATAATTCATCCCCCCAAACATGCTCATAATCCAAATCACTTGTATATTGAAGCAAGTTTTCCAAGAACTCATGGAAACAAAATGGCTCATTAAATAACCCAAAATTCCTATAAAAATGATTACAGTACTGCAATATAATGGGAAACAATAAAATACAAAAGAAAAAGAAATTAATCTGCTTATCTTTGAAAACCTTCGTGGCTGTTATGAGGGAGACAGAGAGGACAGTCACTGGGTAGAACAACTTTCACCATCGTTAACCGAATCACTGCTATCTGCTGGCTCAGTGAGCTCTTCCTTTTCATGCAGCTTTAACAAGGAGTCTATCCTGTGACCCTCGCTTTGCCACCTCATGGAAATCTCACATCACGGTCATCGCTTGCGCTGCTACAGCCTTATTCATTGGTGCTTTTCTACAAAATTTTGTAGTTTCCCACATTTTCCACGTCTCCCTAATCTCATTTCAAGTGAAGGATTCCTCTGCCTTTCCCTGCTCTTCCTCTGCAGAGATCTCCTGGGCAACCTCCTGCAGGTGGGAGATGACTGCCCACAATTCTAGCTGTGACCATGGGACATTCTACGTCATGCTTGACTCGTACTGCAAGACGTCGCTCATTTATCAAGTTAAAATTGATTACAAATGTCTGCTTGTCTTGCGGAACACTGGCGCAACAAGTTACTTGCAATCTAAGGTGTCACTGCACATACAGTACTTTTCTTCACTATCTTGCTAATGTTTGTCTTTTCTCATCGTTAAAATGTAAAATCAAAAATTATGTACTGTAAGCTATAAAAAGACCTTTACGAACTCTAGCCTAAGGATAATAATTTATGCAGAAAATTATTCCTGAAAGCGGAACAGCACTTATAGAAGCAAAAAAGAAAATCAAAATGGGAAAATGTAGCCAGAGTGATAACGCAGTCCTGTCATCCCAGCATTCAGGAAGCTGAACCAAGAGGACCCTGAGTTCCAGGCCAGCCCAAGGTACAATAGCAAGGCCTTGTCTAAAACTTTTTTTTTCCCCGAAACATTTTTTTAAAAATAAAGAAAAGACGTGCTCGCTTCGGCAGCACATATACTTAAAAAATAAAGAAAAGAAAAAACTTCTAAAATCAATTTAAATATTCAACACTATAAACTGATCAAATAAATTCTCAGGTACATTACACTGCTGTTAACAATGAAGTTTCATGATAAATTGAAGGTTCATAAATAAATGATTAGGGTGTGACTTGAATTGGGGGAAAGGTAATATAGAAAATTCAGCATACTGTGTAAATCCAGTAATGTATCTATGGAAATATAGAGGAAAAAATAAATTACCTCTTTCTTTTTCTGAGTACTTAGGGAGTTGAGCCCAGGGCCTTAACACTGGGCTACAACCTTGGTGCTTTTTGTTTGTTTGTTTGTTTGCCTATGCTTGCTGAGACAAGGGTCCACTATATTTTTTTAGCCCTGACCTTGAACTCTTGGCAACCCTCCTGCCTCATCCTCCCAAGTGGCAGGCTTATTGGCATAAGCCACCATACCCAGCCACTTTTTATTAAACATTTTTTTTCTTATTTATTTATTTATTTTGTGTGT